GGCGTTGGGGATCAGGTATTCCCCAGAACGGCTCATCACGGGTTAGGATTTTGTCATTGCTTACACAATTCCCCTAACCACGCCACTCCAGTGGATGAGTCACCCGCGGGACCCTACTGACAGCCCATGTGTGCTAATCCGCTTCATTCATGAGGTCAAGATCACCCCTGACTTACATAAGTGGGTGCATTCAGACAGATCACTCGGCCATTGGCTGAGGCATTAAAAGCTCTCTGCACGAGACTCTCCCCTGTCATGCATTAGCGTGGGAGGGTGGAGCGGCTAGCGTCTGATAAGAGATCTAGGGTATAACCGCTTTATCTGAGGGAGTGTGTGGTCTTAGTTACGGGCAAAACGTAACAGATCGCATGGGTTGCATTTATGTTAATTTTCTTCATCTGATTTAAGTAAGATCATGTTCCTCTATTACTGTACCAATGTCTGTATGGCTTTGTACAAGGACAACTATTATTCACGCATTGTCACCGTTTAAATCGTTTGAATAAGTGAACTGAGAATGGAATCATGATCTACTTTGGCAGAAGTAATGGAATGGATAGATGATAAGCGTGACAGTTGAGCAGAGAACATCCAACGTCATTACTGGGCATTTACAAGTAGTTGCGGTATGCCGGTTCATAATCTTGTCCTTCTGCTTCCACCAGCACTGACAATCCACAACGTTCCTCAGTTACCTAAATAATTACATGCAATAATAAGTAATAAATGCACGAAAGAGGGAAGATCATAGTTAATTAATTAATTAATTAATTGTCACTCTTGAAAACCGCTGTATTGTATTACGAAGAGCTCTCAGCTCGTAATGGACAGACAACCACCTCGCGTTACCATGATGCGTGTTAACTAACCCATTTGCACAAATGAGGCACATCTTTTACAGGCTCCTGGCACTCTCGCGTATTCATACGCACACAGAGACCCATGGCTAGCTTGACGCTAATAAGCTGTCGTATCCGCTGTCGCCGTCTCACTTCTCGTCTTGGGTTGTTACGGGCAATGAACTAGAGGGCTGTCAGGTAGTGCTAGTGAACCTACCACATTCCGTGACACCAACATACGAAAACACTTTATTTTTTGACCTAATTGATTGGTGCCACTACTATCATGTCTGCCCAGACACAAATATTGACAAGTGGTGGATCAAAAATAAGCATTGGTAAGAAAAGAATGCTCAGCTTATCAAAATGTATGCTGTTTGGTTTACTAATTCCTCTTCTCGCTACTCAGTTCTCCAGTCCGTTTTCTTGTCTGCAGAAATATTCCCTCCTTCAT